GTGTGTGTGTGTGTGTGTGTGTGTGTGTGTGTGTGTGTGTGTGTGTGACATATATACACACTGTATGTATATGAAAGTGATAATAAAAATATATTTCTTTATTGATTGTGAGTGTGTGTGTGTGCCAACTCTATAATTAATGACGCAGATGCCAAGGATGTCATCTCTATCGTTTTGATTAACTATTTTATTTTTAATTTCCCATAAAAGTTTTTATGAACCATTTCACTTATTCACGCTTGTGATTTCGATATTCCTAGAGCTCCCTTATTGTGATTTCCTGTATAATAACCACTTGAATATATTAGTCTAACTTATTTATAGTTGTGGTCTTGATGTTCATGAGAATCTCCTAATAATGTATTTTTATTATGTGACTACGCAGGATGTGACATTAGTATAAGGGTACAATGTGTTCATTTATGATTTTATACTTGGATTCCAGATCATATATTTAACAAACACAAGAATAATTTTCCCGTCTGAAACTTATTCCACTAATGAAAATATAACTATTGTTGGTAAAAAAGAGAATGTTAATAAAGCATAAGCAAAATTTGAAGTTATGATAACCGATATTGATAATGTCATCGAAAAACATGTAGAAATCAATGAAAAATATCATGGCACTTTAATGGTCAATCAAAAAGAATGTTTACACAAATTGGAAAAATAATGTGGCATTGTTAAAATTGAATTTCCCGAACTTGGTGCTCTTGATAGAGTTGTGATCAGAGATAGCAAAGCAGATGTTGCTAAACAAAGACTTTTAGACTATGCTAAAGTTTTGGTATGTAGTATAATTCAATACAAATGCACAAGTTGCACTAACCTGTCTATTTTTTATTGAAATTGTATTGAGGTTATATTTACATAATTGTTCATAATTTTCTTTACAAATAAAATGAAATAACTTAAGATAAAATAATTAAAATAATCATCATTGATGTATCTAAATACAATTAAATAAGTTAACCATATAATCATTAACAATTTTGATTTAGGAAAATACTATTCGAGCTGTAGTGAATATTGATCCAAAGTATCATAATTACTTTGTTGCAAGACGTGGTAAAATTATCAATCGAATTATTAATGATTGCAATGGAGTGTCTATAACATTTCCGAAAATAGCTTCTAGTAATAGTGCTGTCATCATAAAATGTGATAAAATAAATGTTGGAGGCGAAATATAAGATTGAAGAAATTGTTAAGGACTTGGTTAGTATTTACTATACAAATATTTTTATTTATAGTTATTGAAATTATTAAATTCATAAAAAAAACCTATGACTAACAGTTATTACATAAAAAATAATTGAACATTTATCACCTTTTAATTTATTTAAACCATAGATATACGAGAATCATAATACAATAATAATAATAATTATAATCAAGTAATACATTAAAATGTTATAGAAAAACATAATTGAAGTCACTATGAACGTTCCTCCAAAATATCATCATTATTTTGTTAACCACGCTGAAGTAATAAACCTGATAAGTGGGAAACATAATGGAGTTACTGTTACATTTCCACAAGTTAATTCCAATTCTAGTAAAGTTTTGATTAAAGGCCACAAGGATTATGTTGAAAAAGTCAAAAATGAAATCGATAATATTATTATTAACTTGGTAAGTTGTTTACTAACACTTATTGTTTTATCGTTAAATTATTAATCAATAATCGTGTTATACAGCGGCGTAGTAGTGGTGTAGTAGGTGTGACGTACCGAGGCCTTCGTGATTTGGAGCCCTCAATTCAAAAAAAAACTGATATGAACAAAAATAGAAGCTTGCGTTAACTAGAACCAATTATTTGTTTTGATTTTTGGTAGAAATAAATAATAAAACCATTTTTTTTTCAAAATCTCATCAACGTATTTTATTGTTAGATTAGTCAAAATAATTAAACTATTAAATTGAAATTTAATTATAATGAAATAAAATATATTAAATACGATAAATTTAATATAAAAAATACTATATTAACAAACTTATTGTTAATCGTTGATTATGTTTTTTCAGTGTTTTGGGTTTGGTCCCCTACATTTTAAAATCCTGGCTACGCTACTGTACGCATCAACAAAACAATGAAATTATTATACGCTGTATACCTGCGTATACACTTCACTGATCATAGCTAAGACAAATTTTTGAAGGGAACGTGGTAGCGAACAGTGTTACGGATATACACATAATGTAGGTCCTTACAACTATATACGTAACATGGGAGCATCACATAATTGAATAATCAATATAAATATACAGGTACCCATAAAGAATGTAAAACTGTAAAGTAAAAAAAATATATATGCGAGTGTGAATTACATGATGGTACATCATCAATAATGTAGAATATGTGAAATCTAGTTAAAGTAAAAGGAAGCAATTATAAATATACGATGGAACAATAGACAAATGTGAAAATCTATATTAACCTTGTTAGTTATCACAAAGTCTAACCACTAAATCAGTTAATTTGGAAACATATGCATTTTAACAATTCGGAATTATAATTGGAAGATCATTTAAAACTCAAACCAAGTCTGGGTCATAGTAATTAATTTATTGGAAAAGCCACAATGCCATACAGGTAAATTCCCATAGAATCAGAAAAGGGGGTTTAAAATAGACCAATATTCAGATGTGTTTTAGTCCTGATATAGCAAGCACCTTCACGCTGGTTAGTTGAATAAAATAATTACTTGTACTTAAAAATATTTCAATAAATATATGTTTTGGACTTAGAATAATTTATCAATAAACAGTAAAATAATTTAAGTCTAGTAATTATTTAATTATCCTATCCGGTCACAACCACCACTCAACGGTTGAACTGATGACACGCAACACAATTTGGCGCAGTCGGTAGTTCTTCAAGGAGGCAGTCAATTCATTTTTGATCATCGTCAAAAAGGAAAACCTGCAGATTTCCACTTTGGCAACACCAGTGTAATCAACGAGAATCGGAACAATATAAGCCTTTTGTCCTCAATATTGACTCAACGCTTGACTAATTGGCACTTAACAGTATAATCACCTTAATGTACCATGAAAGAAATATAAACCGTACTTCATATTTCACATTCGTATAAAAGCGCCGATAAATCATATCAATGCCCTACTATATTTTAAAACACCAACTTTATGATTTTCATTATTCAGTTAATAGAAAATTTTTAATATTACTGTCGCGTCCTGCATAGTCACACAATAAAACACAACACAAGGAGTGTCGTGTCCTGTATAATCACACAATAAAACACAACACAAGGAGTGTCCCATGAACGTCAAAACAACAACTGGGGATGAGATTATTGTATTCACGTGGTCATTACACTAGAGATTACAATAAGAAATTAGAATATCGAAATCACAAGCGTGGGCAAGTGAAAGGGTTCACATGAACGTTCTTATGGGAAATTGAAATAAATAGTTAATCGAAATAATAGTGACCACATCCTGGGCATTTGCGTCAATAATTATGTCACGGTCCAGAGATAACGCGCACACACTTATAATCCATAGGAAATTATCTTATTATTGTTCTCATTTACACACACACACTTGAGATCTACACACACACATACAGATATCACACATAAAAGGGACCCGAAAACAAGGGCAAATCAGACGAGTTTTGGCTATGCTGCACTGAGCACCTTCACGTCAGTGTATGTTATGGTCTGAACTTAGAAATATTTCAAACTATTTTTAAAAGTTACAATTGTTAGGACTTAAATAATTTCTACTTAGAATATTTACAGAATTGTAGTTAGGATAATTTTATGAGTTAAATAAATTTAATTATTTTAAAAAGTCTTAATTATTCCTTACTACACCTACAAACAAGCGTTGACTGAGACGTTGAAACTGAATTATCAGATCGATTGGTTGGCACGTAACATTACTAAACTGAGTTATACTACATTATGTACTGGTGTACCGTATATGATTTAAACTTTTCCGTACACGTTGCTTAAATGATTTGAATAACGAAAAACGGATATTCGTATTTTTTTTAAGACAATGTTGAAAAAATAAAAAAAAACCAATCCGGTGAATATTAATGTAAATGTATATTTTATCAAATATATTGCTGATTCAATAGATAATGACATTTCGTAACACACGCAGTTATATAGTACTTGTAACTTGATACTATAACGTTGTATTCCGTCAATTCAGCAGAATCAAAGTTATAAGGTGGAACAGGATTATTAAAATATAAACTCAACTCGTAAAATGAATACTGTTTATAACAAAAAATAAAAATTTCCAAACAATTCTCTAAATAAAAGTCCAAATAATTATTCCATAAAATAAACTAGCGTGAAGGTGCTCACTTAACCGGAATAAAACCCATCTGAATATGGGTGTGTTCCATATCCCCTTTACACCCCATATACACTGATATATATCTCGTGTGCAGGGCCGTATCAAGAGGGTGGCGATAGGTACCTACGCGCAATTCCTGGGAGAGTGAAAAAATGAAAATTTTGCATTTAATGTTAAAATTTACAACGGTCAATGTCGTATATTTTGTTTTCAAAATCTTTAACATCCTTCATATTAATTAAAACAATCATTGAAAATAATATCTAATAAGCATAATATTTTTTATTAAAAATATATAAGGGCGTATTTTGAAGTTTCGCCCTGTTGGCGCAATGTTTGTTTGCTACAGCACTGCTCATGTGAACTCTTTTAGTGATTCGTTTCCTCATTCCAGAATCCAATTAATATTACTAGTGTGTCAATTTTTGTTTCCCTATTATTGCAAAATCCAATTCATTTTTACTGTGAGTCCAGGCTTCTAATATTATTTATGTGGTATGTGACTTTCCCATACAATGTTTATGACTCCCTTTCATCTATTTACCAATTATGAAAAAATATTAAAAATCGTTAGTCTGCAATTTATTTCGTAAACGTTTAACTAAATATATAATTTTACCTAAGATTTTTATGGATTTTACTGTTTTTACATACATTTTTAACATTAAATGTTTATAAAAATAAATTTGGGGTCATCCAATCATAATGAAACTTTGTATACAGATAAATATTTGGTTAAAAAAAAAAAAAAAAAAAATTTTTTTGTTAAACAATAAAATGTTAAACAGGTTGATAAAAAAAAAGAACCTACCTATAATTAGACTGAAAATGGTAAAATATACTTATAAATGGTTGACTTTTATACTGAATCATGCTCAGAACCATTTTGATAAAGAAATTACTTATCATTTCTTTAAAATTCAGTTTATTTACGGAAGATGGTAAACTGTGGCAAAATTAACCTTTTTATAAAAGTCGATTTGTAAACTGCAGCAATTTATTATATATACCTTCTATATATATACTATATATACATATGGTTACCATAATCTATACAGTGTGTTTCTTTTTAAAGGTAACACTAAATAATTCTGTCCAGTGACATCGGATTAATATGCGGTTTTCAGGAGGGGATAGGGAATACATAAATACACATTTATTAATGATTTTTACATTTTTAGATCTTTCCGTGTGCGTATGCGCAATACAACTTGAATTTTTTTAAATGGCAACAGGTGTTTTGAATATGTTGCGGACATACATAAATGTAGGTCCTTACGACTCATAAGACATGGATGGGACCATGTAGATCATAAATAATAGAAATCGGGAAATGATTATTATTAATATAATATTCGTATGAATAGAAAGGAATGATTAAGACCCGAGGGTAACACGAGTATGAACTGTCAGGCTACATTTCAAAGTATTATAATAAATGCAATTAATAAAAGCGCATAACAAAATATGAGAAATGTTCGAATAGTAATATTACCGAGGTCAACTATTTAGCAACTTTTCAGCAACCATTCAGCAAATTTACAATTAAGCACCTCAGGGTAGTAACAATAATTGGAAATAATGTATTACATAGAAATGCGCGGCCAATTCCCACGAGACCTAAGTATATAAGGGGGTTGGGAACAGACCAATATTAAGATGTGGTTTACATGTATAGTCGCAAGCACCTTCACGCCAGATCATTTCTTAATTAATGTTTTTGTACTTAGAAAAATTCACATAATTGTATTTTTATTTGGAGCATTATCCTAAAAAACTTAACTATCGTTACGATTGGACGACGGCACGCAACAAATACCAAATTCGGATAGACCGAATTTTTATAAGTCGATTTGGTCCTTTTTACCATAGCTCTAAAATCAAATTTGACTAAATGGCAACCAGTCAGTTTCGATTAAAATTATTAAATTTTTCACCAATCATACTAGAATTTTATGAATTATTATGAAATTTTATTTATTATTTTTGTATCCGTAAGTTTGCAAATATTATTAAATCATTTAAATTTAATTTTGAAGAATTAATTAACCCAATTAGACGTAAATGTTAGTTCAATTACTAAGTAAGAAAAGATTAAACAAAATGATATGATTTATTTCTCATAACTTTTATTATTAAAGTTTCTATTTAAATTATTAATTTTATCAATTATTGTTATTTTTCTTGATACAAGTTTGGTAATTACTTGTAATCTCTAAGATTATTTTATTTGTAGCCTTTACTAAAATAAACCAAATTTATTTATCGTGTGCTAAGAATGATATTATCTTAATGTCCGTATAAATCTGACAATAATAACTTATTATAACTGATGAGTTTTAGCATTTGTTTAAATGTGATTATTGAAAGTCATTACAAGTTTTAAACTCGTATGTAACGCAAGTATTTCATTGAAATTTAAAAATGGCAAGTTACAATGATATGAGTATACACATTTATCACTTAATTAGGAATAATATGTGTTATGACAGCTATTACTCTAGAGACTCTTAGAATATTAGACATAAAAATAAATAAAAACCAATTTTTAAAATCGGAAAATATTATTATTATAAAAAATTATTTTAAGAAGCTTTAATGATCGCATGTAGCTAAAGGCTGACATTTTGTCGTTTATTTTTAAAACATACTTTTTTCAAAAATTTATTTCTTGAAATTCGTCCATCTTCTTTCATTTGTCACTGTTCGTTAATTAATTTGTATTTTAGCGTTGTCGCTTTATTTCTTTTTATATATGTGTATTACCGATATGTTTCGTTAAAACTGAAAAATACATTTGGATTTACCCAATGCCGGATTACCCATTAAGTGGAGTAGGCGCCCGCCTTAGGGCCTCACTCAAGGGGCCTTGTGAAAACGGTAAATTATATTTTTTTTTATTTAATAATACCTGTATATTATTTACGAATTTACGGGACAAAAGTCGTTATGAAATATAATATTATATTAAGTTGTAGGTGTTATATGCAGTAATAATAATAAAATCATTTTGAAAAACAAATTAGAAATAATATAATAATTAATTCATTTTTCTCTCGACTAAAAAAATTTAATAAATATGATTTTATTTATTAATAATAGTCGGTTATTATTAAAGCTGTTTATTTTAATTATTGGATAGTATAATATAATAATAATAGTAATGTTAAAGATGTACGTAAAAAATAATTTTGTAGGGCTCAAAATTTTAATTGCCTAGGAGCCTACAAATGTTTAATCCGGCACTGGATTTACCTTACCACTTTGCACGCAAGGAGCAACGTTTCATATTAATTAAACGATATACGTACATAGGTACACATAGGTAGGTATATACGATTTAGGTACTATAATAAATAGTATATATAGAAGGTATGTATATAAAATAAATTGCTGCAGTTTGTATATTGTATCTTATCAGTTTTGTCGCAGATTGTAAAATCTTAAATTTTTTTTTTGCCGCAGTTTACATATCGACTTATAGAAAAAAGTTAATTATGCCGCAATTTACATACAGCCTTATTTACTACTAGGCTTGCCACTAGTCCCGGTATCTCGACTGATCATTCATTTATCCCGGTTAATATAAGCTGAGAGAAAATAACATTTAATATTATATTATTTAATAATAAAACAAAGAATAATATTGTATATTATATTATTATATGATGGTAATCTAATCGGTATGGTTATATACAACTATACGTGTTGCATGCAGTCAGTTCAACCGTTGATGTGATAATTCCAATTAAAGTACTCAAACTAAGTTAAACTGTATATTGAAATATTTCTAAGTACAAGTTACTTAATTAAATTTATAATTAAACTGGCGTGAAGGTGTTTGCTAGAATCGGACTAAAACACGTCTGAATATTGGTTTATTCTAACCCCCTTATTATACTCTGATTCTGTGAGAATCTCCCTGTATGGCATTGTGACTTTCCTCATGTATTAATGTCTTGACCTGGTTTGAGTTTTTAAGTAATCCTCCAGTTGACAGGTTACCCTTGTCAATTTAAGATGTCTCGACCCGGACCCGGGTCGAGTTTTTAATAATTCCTCAGGCTTCAGATTAGCCCTGTTAATTAGGATTTTAACATAAGTCTACTCTCGTATGTTTCATTACTTGACTAGCTTTCACACGCTTACATTAAAGACGGTGTGCCCTCATATCAACCTAACCTTTCACAGCCGCTCGTGAATACGAATTAAACATACTGCCGCGCGTATCGTCCGTGACGTTTTCGAATTACATTATTTAAGTTCATATTGGCCGAACTGACGAGGGCGCGTACGGGTTCTCGCGATGAACTCGGACAATGTATAACCAAATGGCTGGAAACGTCTGAATTTAGTGCCGATCCGGAGCTCTTACATTTGTTGGTGGACGGCCTTCCATAGCTGCCCATATGCACGGCGTGACGTCCGTGTTCTTACAGTTAAATGTGTATGTAAATGCATTTAACGTGTTAATAGAAAATATGTACGCTTGCTCGCGTGTAAAATGGGTATAAATATTATTTAAACTTGATGTGTATAAGCTACCAATTGTTTTATACGTGTGAAGCGCTAAAAAATACGTTTTATTGTGCACGGTATACCGTCATAACGTTTGCCGTATTTCAACATCACATTTTTGAGTGTTACATTATTGCCATATAGTAGTCATATGCGTAGTAATACTACAGTATACCAAGTGAATACCGAAAATAGCAATATATTTTACCTGTGCCAGTTACTTTTAAACGGAGTTCGCGACACCACCGCCATAATTGGTTTTTTGGCTGGCCTGGCTACACTGTAGAGTTCCAACCGATATAGATAGTTAAACACCGTTATCGCTTATCGTTCTCTGATTGTGTTCGTTGCTTACGTTTCGGCGGTTGATAACAAGCCCGTTGAAAACTCAACACGGTCTCCATATCCGATATTGTCTACGTTCGTATTCTTTGGGCAGAACAACGGCTTTGTTACCATTTGATACCAACTCCGCAGGCAGCCCATCCGCCTTAACGTTTCGTCGGTATGACGCAGCACATGAACGCGGCCGTCGACGAAGACTCTGCGCTGTTGCAGTTTCCCAAAGAATTCGAAAACGCCGAGACGTTACTTATTTCCGAAGTAATAAAACACCGACCACTCGACCATATTCGTGCCACTGGTCTAATGATTATTGTTTTCGCTTTCAGGTGAACATGTTGTTGAAATTCCGCAAGAACCAAAACGAAAGCGCTGAGGAAGAACAAGAATTCTCTGAAGTATTCAACAAAACCCTTACATACACAGAACAGTGTTCCAAGTTCAAGAACAAAGAAACCATTGTTGCCGTGAGAAATTTACTGGCCAATAAGAAATTACACAAGTTTGAATTGGCGTCGATCGGTAATTTATGTCCACAACTGGCCGATGAGGCTAAATCACTTATACCCAGTTTAGAAGGAAGATTTGATGACGATGAACTACAACAAATTCTTGATGACATACAAGCTAAATTAAGTATTCAATATTAGTAATGTGTATTTATTTGCCAATATTATAAAATTGTGTAAATTAAATTTTATATGGTTTTTATAAACAAACTTTCTAATTTAAATTATTTGTATATTTTCCTGTATAGTCTTTATGGCTTATTAATCATCAATTGTAATTTTATATGTTTTATAATATGACAATATAAAAATAATATATTATATATAAATTACTTATAAATAATTATTGCTAATCGTTGCTTCTCTAACTTATTTGAAGTTAGAAAAGTAGCACATGTGCTACATCTGGGATAGCCAATAATATATGATTCTTTTTACAACTAAATGTTTTATGAGCATTTTAATAGTTTTGATTATGTACATTGATTATATAATTGTATATGAGTTAAAACACTTATAACTAAATATAGAAGTGTAAGAATTTATTGAATTATTTAAAATAAGAATAAACGGCTCAATTTATTTAAGTTTGCAATAAGTATTTTTTAGTTATTTAGACTTGCATTCACAATAATTCAAAACGTCTTTACATTTAACAGATTATTCTATCAATTTTTTTAATTATTCGACCAATTAAGTAAATTATATTTAATAAAAATAGTTCATTCTACTTTCCATAAATATTTATCAATTTACATTTATTCAAGAGTAATTTAGATGATGAAATTAAATAATTATTAGTAATAATTATTATTGATAACTATGTTTTAAAATATTATATTCTCATTAAATTATTTTAATAAATTTTACGCTAAATTATTGTTTGGTTATATTTTAATTATATTATGTTAATCTAAAAATGCATATACTTTTTTTTTTATATAATTTATAGAGTAGTTTATGTAAATTATAATAATTTAAAAAAAATTAGTAATCTTATATATTTTATAATTTTTGCATACTACTGAAAATATAGATGCATAAAAATAAAAAAATAAAATGTTATTACACTGTTATGTGCCGATTGCTGTTTACCATTTAGTGCAATGAGAGTAGAGCACAATCAATTGAGCAGCTTCTTAATAAATATATTCATTTGATAGGTATGAAATAATGAATTTAAAATAATAACCTTATTGTAAATAATTCTATGTCCAAAACATTTAATTTATGAAGTAGGTATACTAACGTGAAGGTGCTTGCTTCGGTTAGACTAAAACACAGGCCCGTCGCTAAGGTACAAGCAAGCTATGCGTTGCTTTAGGGCGGCATAACATTTTAAAGAAATTAGGCGGCAAATTGTAATATTAAAAATTCCAAAAAAGACAGCAACTTAAATCAACACATTTATAAAAAAAATTTCGATCGTAATATTATGCATGTTACTATCCAATTTAGTATCTTAAGAGCAACACTAAAATTTTCGCTTTAGGGAGGAAAATATCTTACGACGGGCCTGCTAAAACACATCTTATTATAGGCATTGATTATTGAATATTCTAAAGTTAATTTTATAATCAATGCTATGGGTCTGTTCAGAACCCCCTTTTAAAGCCCTATCTCGTGTGAACTCCTCATTGTTCGTTTTCTCATGACAATCAATACAGTATTTGACTAATGGTATTCAATTGTATTAATTAATAATTAATTTTATTTTAATGGATTTAAATTAGTTATAATTATTTCTGTACACCCAATGAATTATTTATTAAATAATTGGCCTTGCGACTTCTGCCATTTGCATGTCTTATACTTAATCTATAATAGATCATCCTATGATTTGTATTTGTGTATCACTTTAATCATTAGTTGTGGTACTCAAATCTTTCACGTTAAAAATATCCTTCAAATTTACACCTTTGATAAGGCTTCCCTTTGTGTCTTAGGGCCCCGATATTAGACATCACCATTCAGTGGTGGCCTGGGTACATTTTTTTTGTCGGCTGAAATATAAAAGGTCCCCTCACCAATGAGGCCAATAGCAAATAGTAATGTGACTTTTTACAGTTTTACATTTTTAAAGATAATTACTAGATAACTGTTTTGAAGTTCTAAAAACCTCTTCCAAAAAAATGTATATGTACCTAACTATGTATGTAAGTACCTTATTCTACTTTAGGTTCCATTTAAACTTTTACCCCTTGGGTATAATGATAAAAATAAATAACAAAGTATCTATAATGCTACCTATTCAATATTAGTGTTGATGCATATACTATAAAATAACATAAATTTGTATTATTCTCATTATCGCTACGTAACTGTTGCGTGAAATCTACTTACTAGATCCTTACGTATTATAATAAGGACATGGTTTAGTATTTTATTAATATTAATTAGTGTGTGGTAAGCCATATTTCTTCAGTGCTCCCACCGTATTGTTAAATAAAGCAATTTTTTTTTACTTTAAATCTTATATAAAATTAATGTACTACATTATATAAATTTATGACTATTGTAAAATAAATATTTAAATAAATAACATATAATATTTTATTCAATATTATAATAAATAATAAATAATAGTAATTAATATAGTTAAATAGTAAAGTAATTTTTGTAATTCTGAAGACGAATTTGCATAACAGTTTATTATTTCTTCTATATTAGGAATTATGTCACTTTCAATATTACGAGTAATTATTAAAAGAGGCTTTAATATTTCTTGATTCAATGATGACCTCATTCTTGTTTTAAAATTTTTTAATTTTGAAGACGACCATTCACAATGCACTTTCATGTATACCCAGTATATGAAATACTTAATTTACTAATGTTAGTATTACCTATTTACCAAATACAATTTTTTTTTTTTTATCTCAATATTATTATTCTATTACCACTAAAATATTTTATAATTCCCACTTAATTAATCTTATTGAATTATCATTTCAACTACAAAATAATACTGTGATTAATTGTGATAAACTATTAAATATTTTATCATTATAATTGTAGAAATCAAATTGTTATTCCCCAGGATATCCAATTATTTTCATAATTATGCATTTTCCCAAGTAATGGTGTTACATTTTGATTATCCTCAATTCAACTTTAAAATAAAATTAATTATTCTTACAATTATCGTATCAAGTGATTATTGCTTATATGTGGATAAACTTCCTCTTCTCTCACTTCTAATTCCTTTCTTTCTTCTATATTTCCTAACTCGTAATTCTCTAAATCCCTTTTTGATAACTTATATATTTTAGGTTCTTCTATAATTTGTTTATTTTTATAACATTGTATTTTAAACTTGATCATTACATACACAATTATTATTAAAACCATTGATAATACTCCTAAAATTAAAGTTACATATATTAAATTCGAATGTATCACTTTATGCTGTTCATTTCTCTGTGTTTCTTCCTCTTTACTTATTAATTCCTCTAAGTTGTCTACAGAATGTGATAAATTACCTAAATGATTTAATTTTATTCCTATTGTATTAATAATGTTTTTTAATCTTGCCAAATGCATTTTATTAGGAAATTTAGTTATTAACGTACTCATATTTGTAACTGGTACGAAGTTTATATATTTTTTATTTGTTAATACCTGTGTAGCTGTTAGTATTACATTCTCGGCTGATACCTCACATGTTGTGTCATTCATTTTTATTATTTCTGTACCTTTTATCCTGATGATTGGTTCTTCCAGGTTTGCACAATTTATTGTTAGTGTATCATTTGTTGCCGCGAATAATCATTCATTTCTGAAACGTAGTTTATGATAAATGTTTCTATTTAATTTAATCGCATGTGGTTCACATTCTTCTGGTACTTTTTCTGGTTCGTGAAATAATTCAACTTCACACTGTCTAGTTGCCTTATTATCCCTTATTGGTTGATATATATTACATACTATAAATATATTTGTTTTCGTACATGTTCTGATTTGTTCTGGCGTAAATGTTGTGAATTGTCTCCTATCCTTAGTTATAGCAATAAAAGATTGTTCCAGTTTTAATATATAAGTTACATTACCCATAATTGATACTGGTATCGCATTGTACATAGTTAATTCTATTTCTGTAACCAGTGGTATTTTAATTACGAACAATAATTTATCTTGAGTGTATATAGTGGTAATCTTAATTATTTTTCTTAATTCATATAGTTCATTTGGAATTGTTCCTATAGGTAAATGCATTTTAGTTCTCAAACGATGTGCTATATCATTTAATGTTTCTGATAAGTCCTTTGGTGTTAAACTTGTATGTATCACACCTGTTCTTGCGGCAGTAATTATTTGATTTAACATTAAGGTTTCATACGCGTATTGATTTACAAGTACCAAATGTAGATTTTGCACATTATTGAATAATAATAAATCCAATACGTCATTTGTTGTATTTGTCAAACTGTTCATCCTTTTCACAAGTTCTTGTTGTTTTCCTCTTAATTCCTCATGTAATTGTTGTATTTCTCCTGTACTTGCTCCTACACGTTGCATGACTGTTTTTACTAAAGTTGTTTCTTCATCAAATGTAAAACATTTCCACCATTCCTCTGTTGTTCAGTTAACGCCCTATTTACTTTTTCAGTTGTTTAACAGTATCCAGCAATAGGCCTCGTTTTTAATATATTCTAGGAATATAGATTAAAATTTTGACGCAACTTCCAATTATTACTCGGCTTACGACCAATTAGTTAATTATATTATTATAATATTTAATTAGTTAATTAGTTAATTAGTCAATTACTTAATTATTTAATTATTTAGGCCATACATGGTAGCCCATAACACCGTGAACTGATAATATTAAAGGGACTACTTACAGCTTTATATAGTAGTGTTACGGACATACATATAGGAAAAATAACATTTCAATATATATTCAATAACAATATCAAGTAGATTTCGATGTAGTATATCCAAGCTTTCCAGCATTACAAGATGGTATTTTAGGTAATAAATGTTAAAAGAAAAATGGTGGAGCAGTTAATGTATATAATAGTACATTAAGTATTATGAAATAAAATTAAGAGTAATGAAACAAATAACGTAAATAAAATATTATTAAAACCGAGATCAGAAACAGTAACAGAGTTACCGATAGCTGACCAAAGTGTAGAAAATAAAAATGTTATAATACATAAACAAGAAGTGATAGAAGACGTATATAATAATAACGTAGTAGGAAA